GCATGCTATGGTCGATTGTCAGATCAGTTTCAAAGTGTGTTACGCTATAATATATCTACAAAATATAAAAAAATATTTAAAAAATGAGTGATTCAAGCGAATTTGAAGATATAAATAATACAACACCGGATATTTTGGAACAGGTTAATGCAACTGTACAATCTCTATTACCCCAAAAATCTAAAGAAAAATACGAAAAACAGTATTTACATTTCAAACAATGGGCCCAAGAAAAGCATATTCGTACTTACTCAGAAAATGTTATTTTGGGGTATTTTTCGCTATTATGGGAGTCACTGAAGTTAATGAAATTGTTTGTAATCAGCCAAGTACAAGTACTTCCGAAAGATACCAGCTGTATAATAATGTATGTGAAAATATCACGAAAACTGCATTGGCCCCAACTCTCACTTCTAGTGGTATTCAAATAACCACTCTATTTTTCTTGTCTAGCTCATTCAATTTTTCTAGGCACTATTTTGGCTTGGTTATCGGACATGATGGTAATCTCTTATCTGCGAAAGTTTTTATCGATGCTGACCTGGATACATTTCCCATTGGTGTGAATTTCAACCTTAAAGATACTTGGGTATATACCCAACTTCTAGAGTACGTGGTTTCAGCCCATACACTACTATTCTAGTTCTTCTGTAGTTTTGGAATCATACGTAGACTGAATTGCATGCTTTTCTGTTGTAAACACGGTTGATTCTTTGCTCCATTCTTTCTTGCAGCCAAACTTTGTGGTTTTAAAGTTTTTCCCAAAATTTTACTTCTGCCTCATTTCGTCCTGCTGCATGTCCATTTATTTTTGATCCTGGTTCTAACAGATTTAAGTTTGTTCACTCCATTCCGTATTATTCATTATTTTTTGTTACATTCACTACCATTAAATGTAGAAGTGTGAGGTTTAAGATCACCTACATTGCACCGGTGATGGAAAGACAGGTTACTCTTTATACTTTAAAAATTTTAGTTCTCGTAATAGCTAGGCTACAGCCCCGTATGTCTGGTCTCACTATTGCTGTATATATCCATCGCAGAGTGATTCCCCATCTTTCCCCGCAATGTTCGTACCTTTAGAGCTTTTGTTGTCTTATTGATTGCTTTATTCTCATGTGTATTCCAGAGTCAGAGACAAGTTTGTTTTTCAGTTTTAGGATTAGGATAGGGCGAAAGCTACCAATTTTGATCTTCAAAAAATTGATTTATTATCATTTTTCCTAATCTGACTCCTTCTAGTGATCTTCAGTTCCTGAAACTTATAATCCAATATTAATTAAATTATTCCTCTATAATTTTATTAAACAAATTTTAAATTTAAATCTACATTTCCGAGAATTTCTAAATGTCACTTGCTAAAGTAAAGAGAAATGGTTAGAAAAAATGCAGACCCTTGACAATCGCTTAAATCAAAATATAATGCAAATTTAACGCTCGCTTAGCATTCGAAACGTAATTCAGGCCCGGAGCAAATCGGTAAATCACATTTCGGTTTGTGCCTTCTATCAAATAAACAATGAGAGGTGAAAAGCTCCGAATACACTCACTCGTACTCTGCGAGTCGAACTATTAAAATGCAAATACTCCAAATGGAGAATTACCAACCCCCACAAAGAAATCTTCAACCATCCTTTCAGCATGGCAATGAAGCTACCGCGAGCAATGGGTTTGTGGACGACTGCACCCAAATGGTAAAACATAATACTTTAATTCGTTACATTACGTTTAACACGGAGATATTTAAAAGTTACACTAATCCGCAGTATAACTAAATAAGCAGTTATTTTCCGGAGGGAAAAAGTCGCTAGTATTATTCTATAACATTGGATTGGAATTATTTTCCTTTTTAATTAAAAATTGATAAAATATTTTAAACCGCATCCGAATAATTCTTCACTACTTGTTGTCCATTAGCTTTGGATTAGGTGGCTACTCTTCTTTAATTTTTTAATAATTTAACCTCCACCGTCATCAAAGGTTATCTTTTATACAGGATGTTTCATTAAGACCTTCCTAAATATCTAGTTCTAATAGTACGTCAAAAATAATGTCAATTTACTTAGTAAACATATATAGCTGAAAACACATAATATGAGTGGTGCATCCCTTTCAAGGAAGGTGAAAATTACCACTTTTTTAAATGATATTTCCAAAACTTACTAATCGATTTAAAACAAATTTTGAAAATTTAATTATTTAGAGTATTAAATTCATTGTCTGTGACAGAGCTACGTAATTACATGTACTTTAAAAATAATTACAATTACATGGTACTTAAAAAAAGTAATTCTAATTACAAAAAGTTTTTCAAAAAAGGAATTACTTACAAGTATAAAGTACATTTTGTAAAAATAGGAAATAGTTTGATTTAATTACAATTATATAAAAAAGAGAATTATCAATTACTTTTATAATTACTTTTTTAATTATTTTGCGGATAGAACAACAAATTATGATAGAATTCAGAAACCATGAATCAACCGGACCGGTACGAACAGCCGTTTGCAGCGACTTTTTAAAGGCTTCCTTAAGGGCTGGTTGTATATAGCTTACTTAAAGTAGAAAAACCGGTATTATTTTTCCAAGAAAAACTTATTCTGGTCGTTGTTTGAGGTTTATTAGAATAGTAAAAAATGAAGGAAAAATGTTGAATGTAGTTATTAATGATCAAAGTATTAGTACTCGAAGATTATCATTGAATTTAATTAAAACAAAATAAATTCAATCCTAACAGGTTACATGGTTTCTGGTCCTTGTTTACCATTTTCGATATACATACGAAAAATTGAAAGAGAAAATTGTATTGGAACGATCCATATCTTCTTCATTTGATCTTATACCTATTAATAAATCATTAAAAAACAATTCTTTACTCTTATGTTAACATAATACTATTTCTTTCCGGGTATTTTCAATGTTGTTTTTGTTAATTAGGATTAAATAATTGTGGTTATCCGCGTGCAGTTTTGCTTGCCCCTCATTCGTAACAATTTCACTTTGGTACAAATTTGGATATAAATGGCCAATAAAAATGAAACATATTCATGATTTTTCCGGACCGGAAACGGGATTATTAACCCCAACAATCGTTTGGCGGTCTCCTTCGCATTTCTTACACTCCGATGACGAATATATCTTTCCGGGGTGAGCTTTTCGGGGGGTTGCATTTTTATTGGGCATTAATATTCATAACAGTTTTAGGCGTTTCGCTTTGAATCATTTTTTCAGGTGTACGCCTTTTTGCTTCGCCGAATTGGTTGGACACTAATGTTTCACGGTTATTATGATATCGGTTTTCTCCATGGTTTTTTTTTTCTTTTATAACACGAGAAAATAGATTATTCAACGAGTACCTGTATAATGAATGATTAAGAGCACTTGCGGCTCATGTTGTACCCTTTTTTATGAATACTAATCATTACAGGTGATTATAATACAATATTTTATCCACGACTATTTTACTAAATATTTAACAAAACAGATAACATCTAACAACTATCTAGCGGATAATGAAATAAAACAATCAATCTTTAATAAGTTCGTAATAAAACAGAATTTGTAATAATATCAAAATTAAAACATTATTCTGCTTCCAGACCGGATAAAAAATCGACAGACTTTGAAGACCATACATACCTATATATTAGAGCTGTTAATATACAATATAGATCATCAGTGAAAAGTTACAAATGTTAGTCCTATCATTAATTCTGCTAAAAATACTCAAATAATTAACTACGGGCCTTTATCTGTCATAAATAAGCTAGCTAATATATTCGAACAGTGTTTCTCTGTCAAAAAAACCACTGGACCATCGCGACATTGACTGTTGAGATTCCCAGTTAATAGTTTGATGTGCTGATTCGGGCCAAGCGCTTCTACACCTCATATGAGAAATGAATACTGAGCCCATATCTTCGTCTGCGTGAGTTGAGTTTTCCATGCACGTTAATCGACGTAAACCTGTATATCTTGAACAAAAACTCGTAACTTGGCCACATATACGAACATAAACATTTCCCATGGGAAAAACCAGCCAATCTAAGAGGTAATAAACCCACATATATTTTTAAGCTGGTTTAAGATAAATAATAATTTGAAATTTATTGGAAAGTATACTATTGGTATCTATAGTTGTTTAAAAAGTCCATTCTTTTAAAAATCGCCAAAGAGGCAGGACTTAACTTACCATTTAATAATATGGAGTAATCTACAAAATATGTTTTTAAAGTAGGCCTTATAAAAATTCACGTATTTCGAGCGTACAAATCTCAGTCAGTTTGGATTTAATTCAGAGGAGACTTAATTGACTTAATTAACTCCTATCTCTGTTTTTGTCAGTTATGGCCTACTTTAGAAACATATTTGTGGATCACTATTTACATATTTGTATAATCCAGGTTAATAAAATTAAAATTAAATATATTTCAAAACAAATTAAATATTACAAAATTGAAGACTAACTGCTAGGTACCGCTGCAGTTGTATACTATTTCTTATAGTTGAAGTCCATTCTTCTGGATTTTTGGCTAGCAAAGTGATCGATGACTAGATTATTAAAATTTGGAATGGACCGAATAAGTTTTTTTTCGATGGATAACATGGCTAACGCGCACAATCTATCTTGGCACATAGTGTTCCTTAAAAATGTTTTAATACGTTTTAGTGTCGAAAAATATCTTTCAATCTCCACTGTGGTCATGGGAATTGTACACAAGATAGTTAGCAGCTCCACAGATTCCGAAAATGTAACTGTCAAATTGTTCTCAAAAAACATTTGTAATAACGGTACGGCCCCAATGTGTTGTACAAAGTCATCTCGGGTGTAAAGTATGGACAGTTCGTTTTTGAATTTTAAGCTGTTTACGTTTGGAAATAAACTACACACAGTTTTAACGGCCTCATTTGGAAAACAACCTCGGTAGCCTTTAAATTTTTTTACTATCAAATAAACTTGCAATTGTTAGATGGATAGTAAAACTAAAACGTTCATTTACCTGCACTACTATTGTATCACAAATTTCCTTACATATCCTTAAATTAGAAATGGGGTCCTCCTTTTCAACAAACAGTCTCTTCTTGCTTGTACTTGGACTTGATTGGGTGTTGTCGTTTAAGTTTAGTTCTTGTGGGTCTTTTTGTGATTGCCATTCTTCATGAATTAGCGTGTCTGTGTTATTTCTAATATTTTGAATAGCTGCTGAAAAATTTGATATGTTTATCTTAACCTTGAGAGCATCGAGCTGTCTACTCTGCAGTAGATCAAAAAGTATATTGCAATTTGGCATTACTTTGCTGAAGAAAAATAACCAGAAACTAAAATTTGTCTTTCAAAATTTATCAACCCTTTAGTCTGATTAATAGTTTTTTTATCGAATTCTGTGTTCATAATTTCTTCGAGACATTTAATCAAATCCTCTTTATAAACATAAATAGTATTGACACACTTCGATGTAAAATTCCATCGTGTGCGAGCATTTTAAAGCATACGACTCTGAAGAAAAGGTGTTTGGCAATTTAAAATCTCCCAGCGAAAAATCTCTCTTCTATATTTTCAAATTAGAAAAAAATATTTATATCTCTATTTGATAGTTTGTCAACTAAGCCTGGAATTTCCAACGCATACCTTTTTGAGATCAACAAAATAGAATTTGGTCATCCTTGTCAACAATTTGCGAAAATGTACACCAATAAATTATTTATAAGACTCAGAATTTTTTATACTCTTAAATATGCAAACAGAGATTTGAAATCCTCGAAAAAGTCAGACAAAACCAAAAGAAAAATTAAAATTTTGTCCCATTTTTAAATATTATAAATTTTTTTTCATCATATTTTTGATTGCTTTATATAACAAAAGTTATTTTTCTTTGTAGTTTTATTTCTTAACTATTCCAATGGTCCAACTAACATTTTTTCGTAATCACAATAAATAAATTATTATCATGGTCCAACAAACGCGTACCTTAGGCCGAAACCGGCATCGCCATTGTGAGGGAACCGTAAAGATGCCGCTGCGTACATTCGTATCTGGTCTAGGTAATCTGTGCCTTGGGTACAACACGTCACAATAAGGACAGCGTACCGCTTGTGACGTATAATCCATCGCATGTGTTCATCTCTTGCTAAGCGATATTGTCGTTGTCCTGGTTTTTCGCATCATAATGAGAGAGAAAACAACAGAGGCACACATTTACTGTGCCCACTTAATTTCGGAATTCTCGGAACGTCGCTCAACGCCCGGTCGTCCAGTGTCGTGCCAACGGGGTTTTCGCTGAATATTAGATAAAATAATAATAGGCATTGAGGAAAATATAAATATGTAAGTTTTTTTGTTTTTGGTTTATTATACTAGGACATGTGCCCAAGTGCCCTTACGGGCAAACCGCCACTGCACAGTAGATAGCAATGAAATTCTTGATTCACAGTTCTACGCGACGTTTTATTATTTTTTAGTTTGAATTTTCCCGAATAAAGATTAGCCGCGTTTGTTGAGAGGAACTTAAATTTTAAAATGAGTGAATATAATGATTCTAATATGAAATTTGATATTACTCCTAAACTGAAAACATATGCAAATATTTTAAGTAAAAACTTGCCTAACATAATTATTTCATTTTGTTCAGTTTCATTTTACTATATTCAACTTCAACTATGTGGCCGTAGAGAAAGTACAGTCTTACTCTTTTGGATTGAAAATCCGATACTTGTGGTTCTTTACGCCTGCTATAATTTTGAGTTTTTCAATGGGGGAAAATCAACCTCTAATTAAAAATATTTTTATAGGGAACCAGAAAATATTTATCTCAAGTAAAAAATTACAGGGCATGCACCATTGCGTTCTAAAGCAGCTATGATTTTGACAGATGCAAACGGGCAGAAACCGCCCTTTAAAGTAGAAAATATTTTTTATGAAATCAGAAAAAACGTCGTCTCGATTTCTAAAATTGAAAATATTTTATAAAGGCAACCAGAAAAAACGTATTGCAACGTTTATTTATTTTAAATAATTTATTATCTTATTCATTTACTCTATATTCACTAATTTATTTATTAATTTAATTTATTTATACTATTTATATCTCAATTACTTATATTCGTATACTAATTGATATTGATAATTTATCTTTAAATAACAATATTTATCTACAAACTAACTCAAATGGCAAAACAATCATATTTATATACCCAATCCACACTCCAAACCTGTCTTGAAATTTCTAGGAGACACCTCCACCAATTCTTAAACTGACGTATGTAGTGCATTCGCCATTTTATACACTTCACCCGAATTCTAGGAGTTTCGCCATGGTTCCAGTATATACTTTCTAGAATGAATGATTCAGTCGGACTAATGTAGAAGGTTTTCTGAGTTCACTTATTTTATCGGATATTCTTGGTAACCGAAAATATTTAGGCCGTAAGAGGCCTAAATAAGGCAGAGAGGGACTTAATAGATTATAGTAGGACCAGACTGGTCGAAAATGGCTCGCACGACAGTATCAAGTTAGAATTTATGTTTGAAGTATATTTTTAGTCTGTACAATCACGTTCTAAAACCTTTATAGTTTCTAGGGATCCAAATAGATAAAAATAAACACTGGTTTATTGTAATTACTAATAAATTATTTTATGATTTGATTTCCAGAGTTCCACAGCAGAAAAATTTAAAACAATAGCAGGGTTTCTATGACCGATTCTCAGAAAAAAATATTATCTAGTGTTACGGGATTCGGTTTGAAACAATTGTGGAATTGTGTATCCAAACTTGGTGTTTTTACAGCAACCTTTTTGATATCGTACTTTCAATCTGTAGATGTATCATGCAATGAAAGAGCTACTATCCACGAAATCACTGTTGCCAAAGGCAGGAGTATAATTACAATCCATCAATATCGAAAATATATCTTTTCACCAGATTAAAAGATAATATTTCCTTTAAATAAACTTCGTTGGAAATGAAGGAGGGGGACGTGGGGTAGGAGGCGGTTCTCAGAGTTGGGGAAATAATAATTAAAATCCACCGACCTTATTTATTCATTTTACACGTTAAAAGCAAACTTTTGAAACGAACGAAAAACACAATATCAAAATTTGGTTGATTAACGCGGGGGCTGTTCGCGACTGATAATGAACCCAGGCCAGAAAGAAGTGGAAGGTATCTATTAAAAGTTTAAGTACAAAGGGCCAAAGCCGATGCTATTGTTGCATCTATACGTTGCTCAATTAAAACGTAATAAGAATCTGAGTCTTCTTCCTCCTCCTCCTCTTCGTCGAAAGAGTTTCTCTTTCAAGGTGGAAAACTCATTAACACTGCGCAAAAAGAAGGGATTCCAAAAATTAAAATTACAAAGGAGATCTCGGCTAGTTTCTGCAACTTTCGACAACTTCGAACAACTTGCGTTGATCAATCGATGCTTCGTTACGATCATTAACAGATTTTATTTTTTGTTGCTGCCATGTAAATAATAAAAAAGAAATAAATCAATATGTTATTTGGAACTAAAACAAAAGTTATAAAGACGTTATAATTCAAAAGAATATCTTTCTTACTCTAAAGCAATTTTGACGAAACTAAAAGTTAAAAGGAATTTGAAGTAAAAAAATTGTCGATCGAGAACAGCCGAACAGTTGTTATAGTTTGTAGGTATATATGGTCACTATATACAGGAATATTTTATCTGTCTTTAGATCTTAAGGATATAACATAAAAATTATGGAACTTAACTTCAAGGGCGAGCGAGTTTTGGGATCAATCATTTTTTCGTCTTACAGATAAGATTTCTATGCAAAAAAATCTGATGTTTCCAACACATGACCTTCCTGTCATACCGAAAGTTATTATAGGCTCTTTCTGATTATTCTGTACAACCTATTGTATCACCCCTATAAATCTTTAGAGGATGATCTAAATACATACATTTTCCACATTTTTTAAATATATTAATTGCCAACGAAAATACTAAAAAATTCAAATTTTCCCCTTTTACTCAAATTTTTCCATTTCAGTCCATTTTAGAGAAATCGGATACCGCTAGAGGTGGAAGCGCCGTAATAATAAAAAATATATTAACCATTATGACGAGAATAAAATAGGAATAGAAGATATCCAGGTAACAGAAGTTAACATAAAAACAAATAAATACAGTTTCGTAGTCGGACATAACTTAAAAAAAGAAAATTACAGAGAACTCTTACAACAAATGAGAGAAAATTTTATCTAGGGAGGTGATTTTAATGCCAAAAATATCATCTGGGGCTCGAGATTAACAACCACCAAAGGTAGGGAATTGCATGCAGCTGCAAGTCAAATTGGGTTTGACTACCAGTCAACAGTAAAACCAACCTATTGGCCAACCGACAGAAATAAAATACCTGACTTACTGGACTTCTACATCACTAGCAAAATAACCGGAAACTTTATTAAAATAATAATAATAATACTCTCCCTAATTCACCCCCTTACGAGTGAATTTTAACCCCAAAAGCTGAGCTTGTCCGGGGAAAGGGACGGCTATTATTATTATTTGCCGTGGCGCTCCGGGGCGACTTAAAGATGATTGATGGTGCCATTTGACTTACAGGTGAGGAAAACCCGGAAAACCTCACCCACCCAAATAGAAAAAAACTTTGACTTAGACTCAGATCATTCCCCAGTGATAATGTTACTAAGCGAGAATATAATCCAAAAATAAATTAGACCCACATTGTGTAATAAAAAGACAGATTGTGTAAGTTTCAAAACTGAAATAAGTAATAGAATCGAACTAAGTACACTACTAAGAACAAAAGTACGAACTGGAAAAATTTGTCATCGTCATACAGCAATCGTCATGGAACAATATACCAGAAATTTCAAGAAAAAACGTAGGTAATTCATACTCTAGAGCAGTGGTTCTCAAACTTTTTTGGTGACGGAATCTTTTTGAAAAGCGAAATATTTGACGGAGCCCTAAACACATCCTCCTTGCTTTAGCCTCTTGCCAGGTCCCTCCCGTTTCTTTGCGGGGTCCCTATAACAAAATCCTCAAAATCATATCATCCTTCCTTTGGCCTCAAAAAAAGGTCCTCCAACCAAAATACCAAAATCATATACTCCTTCCTCTTCCTGACTTCTACAAAAAAAGGTCCTCAAGCCAAGTCCCGTTGTAGCGATAGGTACTACTTTTTTTGTTATGACTATTATTTTCTTCGCGGAGC